TTTGTTGCCGATCTATCATCCAAGATGGCCGGCAGCGGGGGACTTAGTTTAAGGTAGGACCCTATAGGAAATACATACAAATGTCTTCTTTTAGAGAACCACTGAATGGAATGAAACCAAACATAGCATGAATGTTCCTTATGAGGTGTTGACCAAGTGTTGTTACTCTGTAGCTGATGCATCATCCAAGACGGCCGCCAGCGGAGTAGGACAATATTAAACCAAATATGGCCTCAATCATTATTAAAGTATCTGTTATGATTTTTATCTTTTTTATATGATTTCAAAAACCCAAATAGAGTCAGGTGAGCGACACAGGCTCATTAGTTTTGTTTTTTGTAGGTGGGGTGGGGGGGGGTGGGTTTTCTATAATGTAGTTGATCATTAAAATTCATTTAAAGCATAAACCCAAGCTAAAAGGGCAACAAGCTTATCAAGCACTCATGGTACAGCTTTTTATTAAACACGTATTGATATATACATTAAACAGCAAAATAATTATTGATGCAAGATGTCATTAAATAATAATTTTTACTCTTTTTATGTGTAAAACAAGAACTATAGAAGATGCAGAGAAATTATAAACAGCAGAAATGATAGGCAATTTAAAATTTGCAGAAGTCAACAAAACCTAAATGGTAAGTAAACTCATCATAGATACCAGGATTAAATTTTGTATTTACGCCAGATGCGCGTTTCGTCTACAAAACACTCATCAGTGATGCTCGATAAGACTCATAAGGCCACTTTTATAAAAGTTATTGCCCTTGAAAGATGATTATCATGATTATTATAAAAATAAAAAGATGTGGCATATTAAATATGAAAACTATTGATCATTGCTCTAAGAAAGCAATTATAGGCCAGTGACGGCCTTCAATAATGAGAAAGTCCATACCCTATTGTCAAAGTAGTCAGCTATAAAAGGCCCTCAGACGAAAAATTGAAATAATCCCAACTGTAGAACTAATTGCCTAGTTTATAACAAAACAAATTAAAAAAAAATAAATATGACAGATATGAAACAACTACAACCACTAAATTTGAGTGTCAGAATAAACTACAGGCTCCGAACTTGGAACAGGCACAATCAGAATATGGCAAGGTTATATAAAAATAAGAAGATGTGGCATGATTGCCAATAAGACAACTCTTCACCAGACAACAAATGACATACCGGTAGATTTCCTGCAAAAAAATAAACAGTCTGAACTAAGCAGGAAATGTATACCTTTCTCTTAATCGAAAAGACACAAAGATCTGTTAGTACTCACAGCTACTGACAGCTAGTTAAAAATCAATAAAAACTAATACATGTAATAAAAAAATCAGGTTTGTGAGCACTCAACCCTACCTTAACCTTGGACAGTGGTTTAACAGCTCAACATATAAAGAACAAACTGTAAAAATAACCGTTGCAATTGCCTCAACTCGAAAGATTGATAAAATGCACAAAATCAACTACCGGGGTAATATAAAAACCCATAGACAAAAAGCACGGAATTAAGAGAACTCACAAGTCATGCAAGTAAGAAAGGAAATATTCTTAAAATGTTCATAAACATGACAAAATAAGCTTTTTTATTGCTGTTTCTCTCTCCATTTATAACATTTTATTTGTTTGTTTTGTGTATTTATAGGTGATCAGACATCTTGGTTTTCATGATCAATAGGTCAATACTGAAGAGGAAACTGAAAGTTGATACCTATCTACATGGTGCGCTAATTGGATTAATGTGAAATGGAATGTGTGCTTTCCTGCAAAAAAGAAATAGGAAATTTCATCATAATCACATGATAATGGCTATAAACAAAATGGAGTTCTATCATAGATGCAGAAAAACACAATTGTATAAATGCAACAACATATTATATATATTCGTCGAAAGAAGGGAGAAATGAAGAAAAAAATAGTATTTTGTTGTTGAAAGGAACACCAGCTTTATCCACTCATTTACATCGCTCCCTCATATCAAATATACTGAAGAAGATCTTCGAAGAACAAATTGCAAAAATGTTTTCTCTAAGAATTGAAGGAAATTGTTTAGTGAATGGAATAATTTATGTTATGAACTTTTACGTAGTGAATTGAATAACTGTACACAGCAGCTGAAACAGAGGAAAATTAAAATTTACAAGAAAAGTGTTTATTTTATTATTTAATTTGCAAATATGAACGCATTCTTAAGAACTCCACAAATGGTTTGACATTCAAATTGGTTGCTTATTAATGTATACAATTGAAACAATAACAAAGAAAACAGAATACTTTGCTACAAAAAATATTTTAAAAATTAAAGTTAAAGTCATATAAAGTATGTACAATACCTTGACCTAAACAGTCAGACTCACTATATTGTTTTTGTATGTCATGATAATTTTGAGTCAAAAATTTATTAAAGTTTAAATATCATTTGTATCATTTATTAAGTCTTGTAAACATTATGTTCATACTGTTTGTATAGTGAAGAAATTTACAATGAGTAAAAATAGGGGAAAGCATTTCCTACAGGGAAAGTTGATGTACGGAAATTTCCTTAGAGGAAATTTGGAGAACAATGTTTTCCTTAGAGGAAATTTGTGGTATTGAATTTTCCCTCAAGGAAAAGTGTTTGTTAAATATTTCCTCAAAGGAAATTGCAGTTGACAAAATTTCCTCACAGGAAAAAGTATTTCCTCCAAGGAAAATTTGAAGCTGCAAATTTCCTCAGAGGAAAATTTGAAGCCTCAAATTTCCTCAGAGGAAATAAAATTTCCTCAAAGGAAAATTTGAAGCCGCAAATTTCCTCACAGGAAATAGAATTTCCTCAAAGGAAATATTAATGCAGCAAATTCCCTAAGGGAAATCTTTTTCCCTTGAGGAAAATACAATTTCCCTTAAGGAAAAATCTTTTTCCTTTAGGGAAATTTGATTTCCCTTGAGGAAAACTACTTTTCCTCTGAGGAAATTGTTGAAAAAAGGGGCATAACTTTTTCAACAGTGGTGCTAGAGCCAAAATTTTTTAGGACAAATATCAGGGAACCAATACCAACCAAGTTATCAACTTCATTTTGACTTAACTCCAAAAATTAATGTGACAACTTTTGCACTCAGCGGAAGTGCAAACTTGTCCCGGAGACTGTTGATTGCTTATGTTTTGAATGACATTACCAACTTTGAAACGCATCAAGTGCCCGTTCAAAATAATTCTCAGACAGTGACAAATGCACCAACTTGTAATTTAACACATTTCAGATCCCAGCTGTATTTCAGTCTCCCTCATGTTTCGCTATCAGCAGTATAAACAATGGTTCTGTAAATATTTACTTTCAACAAAAGTAATGACAGATCAAATGAATTCGTTGAAATCGTTGTTCAGTTATTGAATTTATTCTGTTGTTTCAAAAAAAATGAAGCTTTAAACTTACAATTGCCTGCTTGTTATTTGAATGCATATTTACAATCGGATAATTGTCATCACTATGTGTCCGTTGTCTCTTACAAATGTAAAAAAATTTTGGTCAGCTGTGTCGCTCAGTCCTTGGCATAACTTTGTGTCTGTTGTCTCTTTCGGTATAATAAAACACTTACTGACTGGATATTCGTGGAATAGTAACTTTATTGTCCCCTCGGAAACAACTATTGCCCTCGGCTACGCCTCAGGGCAATAGTTGCAGCTCGGAGGACAATTAACTTACTATTCCACGCATACCCAGTCAATAAGTATAAATAACTTGCTTGTTACTATTTACATACCCCTGTTGGCGTCTTTGGGAAATAAAAACTTTGAACGTGTTTGATGGGTACTATATGGTGTTCGTTGTTGGTTGTCTTTGATTGTACGTTTGGTTTTGTTCGGAGGAGTTTGATGTTAATGTGATCTGTTTTACTGTCCTGTGTTTTTTTGTAATTTCTGTTTATGTTGTATATAGTGTCCCATTAATTTGAACAGGAATACCGACTTAGGGCATTATTTAAAACATACTTAACCGATTGAGCATTGTATTTTAAGGAAGTCTGAATATGCTTGAAATGTATGCCACGGAACATAAAGCCGATAGCACTCAATCTATCATTTTGAATATATAGTTTAGACTCTCATTTCCGTTTTGATGCTTATCTCATGGGGTCTAAAAAATAATATCTTAATATTGGGTACGTGCTCACAAAATCACTTATTTTCTATAATAATATATAGAGTGTGAATAACAACTATTTGCTATAAATTGTGTTTATTAGTTTCAATTTTATTTGATAATTATAACTTAATTATACGAACGATTCAATATACAAAGGCAAAGGTATGATATTCACACTTTTTGGTCCCTTGAATTCATTAATCAAAAAGTATTATAAAATTCCATGCAGATGTTTATTAATTAAACATTAGTCTGTCAGATGTCGGTATCAATATTTTTTTTAATCGTATCTGAGATATTTTCATCATGGCTTCAAACTTATTGCAATTACTGAAAAACTGGGGGAAAATCCTGATTTTCAGATATAAATATATGAATATGAGCAAATTCTTTACCCAAAAAGAAATTTGGCAACATGATGTACTTTTCAAAGATGTTAATGTGTGAAAAATTTTTGGTGAAGCCTTAGTTCATTACATATTTTGTCCAAATACAACGTGTAGAATGACTATTTTAGTTCAATATGTCAATTTTGACATGTTTATGACATAAAAAGTTACCTTTCTGCATTTCTGTTTCCAGATTATATCAACCTACTGATTAATAATGAAATTAAAATAATTTGGAAAGCTTGAATAATTTTACTATTTTACAGAGGCTGAAAAATGGCTCTTATCATTCCTTTTCCATTAAATAATTCGCCGTTTCCCATGAAATTACCCATAGTCCTTGGATTCCGAAACGGCGAAATTCTATGTAAGAATAAAGAGGAAACAAATCAGAGATGTTTTTTTCTTCATTTTCAATATTATTGTCTACTTACTAGCATCGGACATTAGAAACGTCTGTTTTTTTTTTTTTAAATACTTGAAACAGCTATCTTTAAATTAAAAATATTTTAATGATAAAAATGAAGACATGTACTGCGATGTCAGAATGTCAATCATATCCGATCAACAATGCTCAACAAACGTTTCAACTATTTATTTTCCATCCAGAGAATGTTGTTCTGGTCTGACTCTCCTTGCTCAGGATTTTTCCTTGGTGAGCGTAATTATTCCTGACGTAAACTTCCCAGCCTTCAGGTATGTATTTAATGACGAAGCCTGTTGAGCATGCGTCATTGTACTTTGTTTCCGTATCTGTATGCAGTACGCCAATCACAGACGTTCCCCTCATTAATTCTGTGCCGTATTCTCCGTAAAACAAAGGGTGGCCGCCATCATTGGTACGAGAATCGACACAGAAGGTCCATGAAAAGCCGTAGACGCCCGAAGAAGGAGCGGTAAAATTTCCCGTGGTAGTGTTGTATCCTCCACCAGTATTTGCTTCTATTCTATTAAATACAATTGTGTTTCCATTAGCCATAGACGCACTTTGTGTATTTGCACTGCTTTCGGTCATGTACGCTGAAAAAGCAACGTTGCAAGCACAACCTGTAAAAAGAAAATAAAGAAAAAATGAACTATGCATGTATGCATTGTATTTCATTTATCTTAATATTTTGTGGTATTCGTGTTGCCAAATTGTTTTTGCGATAAGGGCCTTTTTGTTATTATTTCCTCTTTCTCCCTCTCTTGTACCATAAATCAAAAGAAGGTAGCCAAAGAGTCATGGCGTCACAATGAATGTTAATATGGGTGTAAATAAAAGTCACACATGCTCTTCGGGGCATGTAATAAAAAAAATTAACATTATTTGTTGTACATTTAATAATAGTTTTATATTTATATCACAGTTAAAACGGCTAGTTTTTCATATTGATACTGTTTTAAGGGAATAATTATGTCGGATTTATGTCTTTTTCGTATGAATAAGATAACTCCATTTATTTTTTGTTGTGTAAAACATGGGTTCTCGAAAAGTCCGAGCGAGACCTAGAAACATGAAGACGTGTTATTTTGTAAGTCGGTAGATTGAATAAAAGATTTGCACAGAATAAAGACACATGTCAATTATCATTATATTTGCAACAAAAAAAATATTATAATACAAAATTTTCTATAAAATTGCAAAAAGGGTATAAATTCCTTTAATGCATGCACATCATTAAAAGACATCAAGTATTTTCAAATTATCATAAGTTAACTGAGGGTTTTTTTAACAAATGTTTTGCAGGCTGTCGTTTATTATACAATTTTTTTATAAAGTGTACTAATTTCGCGATCAGACCTTCGCTGTCTAATTAATTATAGGGCAGAGTTATTTTGTATTTTTAAAGTAGATAAATCGTTAAATCGATTTCTACTTACCATAGCTTCTGTTCACAAGTGTTATTCCTATCAGGACGAAACATGTAGTTATATAGCATGTTACTCTCATTTTGACTGCTTCTGTACTGGTTGCTTCAAACCTTAAAGATGAATAAAATTTTGTTACTATTGGTGAAGAAAGAAGGCATTTAAATTGGTGTTATACAACAAAAATAACACTTTTTATATGCATTTAGCAAACTTGTGTTTGAATATAAATAAACTTATCATAGATACCACACGATGATGTACGCCAGACGCGCCTTTCGTCTACAAAAGACTCATCAGTGGCGCTCGAACCAAATAAAGTACGAAGTTGAAGAGCATTGAGGACCCAAAATTCCTTAAAGTTTTGCCGAATACAGCTACGGTAATCGGTTCTTGATCCTTAGTATTTCGAAAAATTCAAAATTTTGTAAAATAATTATGACCATATCAATGACAATTCATGTCGACACATAAGTGCTGTTGAAGAGATACTATATAAAAGATTATTTTCTCACTTTCATTTTTGTTTAAAGGTTAACAATACATTTTTTGTCATAGTATCTTCAGTGAAAATACTGAGTTATATAAATTATAGCATCGTATAGAATTAAACTATATAAAAAATCATAACATAAATTACTATCAAAATCTGAATTGGGTAGTTCGTCCAGAGGATTCTAGTACCAAAAGGTTAACGCGTCAGCTAATTTATAGTAGGCCTTTAACTGCTCCATTAACTTAAACACGGACTTTCCGGGTAGGCCAGATAAACATTTACGTAAAAGACGACATCTTCATCCAATCAGAATTTAGCATAATTATATATTAATAATATGTTGTTTTCCTTTTTTCTTTATAGGCATTGTTGCCTTTCAAATATTTGGCTTTGAGCGTTCATGATGATTTAAATCGCGAAAAGCGCTTCAAACACATGACATTTATAAACTGTTATTTTTGTCCCCCGCGTAACGCGTTGCGGGGGATAAGGAAATACCGGGTGTCCGTCCGTCCGGTCTTGTTATTGCTCTCGCGGGTACAATTCTTGCCAGATTTTTATAAAACTTATACTATAGATTAATATCAGCAATATCTCGCACAAGTTCTATAATGGTGGACGATCGACTTTTTTTAAAAGAGTAATGCCCCTTGGAAAAATTAAATTTATAGAAAATGGCCTCGTTAGCGCTCTCACGGGTACAATTCTTGCCAGATTTTTATAAAAACTTATACTACAGATTAATATTAGCAATATCTCGGACAAATTCTATATTGGTGGACGATCGACTTTTTTTTTAAATATTATGACCCTTGGAAATATTAAATTTATGAAAAATGGCCTCGTTAGCGCTCTCACGGGTACAATTTTTTTATGAATCTTATAGTATACAATATATACTATAAGTAATGTCCTTGAAAGTCTGTTTGAAATATTTAGTATACAATATAAAAAACTTTTTTGTCCCCCGCTCACGCTTTTTATTTACAAATTGTTTTAAATTTTAAAGAACAACACAAAAAAAAGTGGTTTTTTTTTAGTTATTGCCACTGGATAGATAAAATATGTGCAACGCGGGGGACATTGGAATTCTGTTCTTTTATCATTGTTACAGGACTGCATCGATACCGCTGCTGGTGGACTATCAGTCCTCGAGGGTATCATCAGCTCAGCGCTGACATGATTTATAACAAAGCTGTCTTAAAATAGTCCGCTTATAAAGTAAAAAATTATAAAGAAACGAAGAATTCAAGTCACTCAAGCAAAGTTGGTTGTTATAGATGGATATGACTAATTTTTAGGTTTTTGTGTTGTTTTTATTTTTTGTCGTTTTTATTCTTTTATTTTCTCATTTTTGGAGTTAATAGAATTCACCATGGCACTATTTAATTTCATATAAAAATTAATTCCTTTTTAAAAGTACTTAAAATATACTGTGTGCAGTAATAAACAATAAAAGTATAAATCAATTAGATTATAAACTCATTCAAGGATAGCTTATTTTAAATACACTGTAAAGTAATGCTATGAAAACCCCAAATAAAATTCTTGTTCAACGATAAAATAAAATCTTTTCCTTGATAAAGTCACTACTTTATTTCAAATAAGAAGATTTGAACATATCACTGGTTTTAAGGTGAAAATGCAAATCCTATTAAGTAAAGGGACTCTCCGATAGTAATGCTTGTATTTCAATGCGGTACAAGGAATCGAATGTCTTTCACTAAAGAGGCAAGTCCCAAATTTTGCAGAGTGGTACTGGAAACTACAAAATATTTCGGAACAAAAAAGAATGTCGGGTTCCCTAGAATATTATTAGCATATGCTCGCAAAAAAACAATGCAAGAACTGCCTGGATGTCAGTAGGTTGACCACATTTCCTTTAAGGGTCCCTCTACTATTAGAGTAAATTAATGGTTAGATTTTAGGGTTAAGGCTGGTGTTAGGGTGAGTTAAGTATATCTCTATATGGATTTAGAACCAAAAGTATAAGAATGCCGAAATTATTTCTAAACCTGTCGAACATACTAGTGGCAGTATAAATTTTTGTGAGTATTCTAAAAGAGAGGCGAAAGATACCAAAAGGACATTCAAACTCATAAGTCGAAAACAAACTGACAAAGGTTATCATTTGGGACGTCTAAGAAGATATTTCATATAGACAGTATCTTGCAAAGATTGAAAAATATATAGATTACAAAGTCATTAATCTCATATCGAAATTCGAAGAAAGACAGCCAATACCAAGGGCGACAGAAAAAGGTGAACAGACATTTAACAGTCTGCAACCATCATTTGTATATTTATAAAATAAAATATGATCGGGATTAGAGGGTTAAGCACTAAATTTGTCCTCCATGCATAGCAGTACTTGTTAATTCAACTGTATAATTCTTTCACTTCTCTAAACTGATTAGCATCAGTTATTGTGCCCAAGGCTTCACAGTTTATATTTAAGGTGTACAATAATAGTGCATTATGATGTTTTCCAAACATGAAAATATTTGTGTTTATAGGAATTTGACTAATAGCTATAATCATTTTCACTGCAAATATTTACAAGTTGTATTTTCATTTTGAAACCCCTTTTTTCTAGTGCAAAGGGACATTCAAAAATTCAAATGATATCAAAGAAATATTTATTCGGAGTTTGGTGTGACTTCCATTTTCGATGAACTAGTAACATTATTGTTTAGGGGCCAGCTGAAGCCCGCCTCCGGGTGCGGGATTTTATCGCTGTGTTGAAGACCCATTGGTGGCCTTGGGCTGTTTACTGCTGTTTCTGCCCGTTTCCATTCTCAATTTTATTGTTTAGTATTAATTTTTTCATTTAAAAGTATCTGTATCATAACAAAAAATAAGAAGATGTGGTATGATTGCCAATGAGACAACTCTCAACCAGGGACCAAATAACATAGAATGTTAGCAACTATAGGTCACCGTACGGCGTTAAACAATGAACGAAAACCATACTGAATACCAAGCTATAAAAGGCTTTGAAATGACTAATGTAAAACAATGCATACGAGAAAACTAACGGCCTGATTTTTTTTAAACAATACACGAAAAACAAATATGATAAACAGCAACAAACGATCATATATCTAAGACAAATATATCAATCAGTACACATTCAAATTCAAGTGGATTTAGGGTAATGGTCTTATAGAAGTAAAAATGCTGTTCAAATGTTAAGATCTACATACTGTATATTTCTACCAAAATCATCAAACGATTCATTATAGGAGTTACTGCTCATCAATTCGCCCTATTTTCTATTCATTATTTTGAAAACTATCAATCTAATTGGCAATCATAAATATATAATCAGTTAAATGATCGGCAAAATAAGATCTTCTAAAATTGAATTCATATTATGAAACCCATCAATGAACTTATTCTAGTTGTTATTGTCTTTAAATGAGGATATTTGACCAGTTTTAGTGTTTTTGTTTATTATCCCTAAATTTATAATAGGTAAACAGAAACTATAAAAAGCAAAATAATCAAAAATACTAACATGAATGAAACAATCGCTTGATTCGTAAAAGGAGTTATTCTCTCTCTTTTTTTAACCAATTTTGACTATTTCTTCCTTTTATCTTGAAAACAAATATCTTAAGACAGAAACTTAAATTGAAACGGCCAAAAAAATGACAGTACGATATCTACCGTTTGGTGACTTATCGGAGTTATTTTCCTTAAATGAGGGTCATAAAGAGGGGTATGTACACAGACGAATGGGGAGATAAAATGGCTATTTCACGATGAACCAAAAAAAAATATAGCATTCACGTTGCTTTTTCACCAATTTGTACAAATTACGGTAAATAAAGAGCTTCGGATATACTAGACAAAATATTTTTCTGATAATACTAAGTTACAATTACTGCAAACTTAATCTGATTGATAGAAAACATTAAAATCTGTAAAGCTAGTACTATATCATTATTTTCTATCGGTATTTCCTGTTCTCTCCCCTAATGAGCGCTTCACTCTGTTGGTTTAACGCTTCGAGACTAAAATTCGACGAAGGATGAAATGACTTGTATTATATCTTTATTTTAAGATAAAACATATTTTTATCAGTTGATATATCCATCGTAAACGGAAACAAAATATATATTTTTTGCAGTGCTTTTAAAACTATACAAATAATTGTTTACAGTACATTTTTCAATTATTTATAAATAGACTTGATGATCTGAAGAGATTATAGGTTTATAGCTAGAAAATAAATATTTATCCGATTTACACGGAAATGATTTTTAATGGTGCCACGGTGAAAGTGAATTTGTCCCAAAAAAAGTTGTTTATTGAAAACAACAACACTGATATTAATCTTTGGTACATATAATTGGACGACCAAAAGAAATGTTTCCTTTGGCGGTCTTGTCCAACCGGAAAAGTTCATCTAAATTAAATGCGCAAAAGTTGATGACGACAATAACAAGTATACTATAAATTGACTCGTACCCATGTATGTGGTACCAGTGCCTTCTGGAAAATACATATACGTAAGTAGTACCATGTGTGTTTGTTTTATTTATACAATACTTAAAAAAATATGATTTTGAATCTTAAATTAAAGGGGCATTAGCTGTCAAATTCATGTTCACCGATTTTACTCAAGTTCTCATATTTGATTTATAACATACTAAAACGTATATCCAAATTACAAAAAGTCTAAAATAAACAATTAACAATGTATGGACTCGATAATATGTTTCAACAGTTCGTGTGTATTTTTGTCTTGACCCCATGTCCAGCTAAGGGGTTAAATTGAAGATCAAATGAATACGGATTCAATGAGGTCGAATTATTTACTTGCAAGTGAATAATTCATCAGCGATGTTTCTTAGCTTATTTTGACAAATTTGAACCAAATTGGCTGCTAAAAGCGAATTATTATTTCACTATTTCACTTTCATTAATGATTGAACAAAAAAAAAATATTTTAATTTTTTTATATCTCGTAGCTAATGCTCCTTTAAGATATGATTTAAGTAATGGAAATTTAAATTTTTATAGTAAAACATATTTCCATTACCCACGATGTTTTTAAAACTTAATAAATACATACATGTATACATGTAACAGAATAACGGGTACCAAAATTGGTGTGTGGCAGATATCGTGTTCAGTTAACCTTTACACGTATATACAAAATTGGATCAAAAGAGGAAAATGTGATTTTGTAAATAAGGTTAATATTATTAATATAACCTAATTGGTTTTTAATATGAGTGTACGTCTTTTTCAATCAGAAAAGCAACTACTTTGTATGAACAGGATTTAACGCCAGTGATCAAAGAATGGAACTGTCAACAAATACAGCGTTTTTCATCTTGATTGGGATGATGCTTATAACCAGATGTTATGGTAAGATTATTACTCTCTCTCTCTCTCTCTCTCTCTCTCTCTCTCTCTCTCTCTCTCTCTCTCTCTCTCAGCGGTTGACTAGGTCACAGGGTTGGTTCGAGCCAACGACCCTCCTCGTTAAAAAGACAACTACTCCATGAAGGCGGGTTTTTTATAGCGCTAAATTTCATAGATTCATTATAACGATTGACGATATTAAAAATACAGTTTTTATTATACTGTATTTGTCTTTCTCTCTTCAATCAATTAATCTGGGTTTCCTTGATTTCATGATTGAACATCGTAGTTACCCTTCATTGCCATAATACATGGATACGTAACGTCTAGCGGTAAATGCATGTATATGTAATGTCAGGATGATAACATGTTTGTGTCATATGGATATGCTTGGTACTATTTTGACACGCTTAACTGGGTTTTTGCGTCCTACTAGAAATCACAAGAACATCATTCTAAAATAAAGCGTGGGATTGATTAATATTTAACGTCCAGTAGGCGATATTTCAAAAAGATTAAGGACGAGATCTTTTTAAATTAAATGTCATATGAATATGAATTTTAAGTCGGATCTTTTTCGGGTATCAGCTCAAACAGTAACATTCTGTAAGAATACAATTTATCCTAGAAAGGACACGTTATTCCTCCAATCATATAGGTCTATTACAACAATTCTATGTTGTCCTTTTACGTGTACAATCGAAATATATCATATCCTAATGTGAACATTCTTTTTAAATTTATGTCTACCATGTTTTGCCAAAAAATAAACTTTTGGCTATGGACACATATTATATCAGCAGAATATTCAGACACGAAGTCCCTTAAATTATATATCAACAGGTAGCTAGGATGCTTTAAGTTTCTATTTTTTTTCATCCAGGTTGTTCTTGCAACGTTGCATTTTCATCGTACATGACCGAAGCCAGTGCAAATTCGCAAAGTGCATCTATGACAGACGGAGCCATAATCAAATTCAATAGAATCGAGGCAAATTACGGACTGGGATATAGTACAAATACAGGAAAGTTTACAGCACCTTCCTCAGGTGTTTACGGGCTTACATGGACCTTTTGCGTCGATTCGCGTACTACTGACGGCGGTGCTTTGAAATACGGAGAATACGGTACAGAACTAATGAGGGGCAATTCCGTAATTGGCGTATTGCATACAGACACGGAAACGAAAAACGATGACGCATGCTCAACAGGTTTTGTCATCAAGTACGTATCTGAAGGTACGGAAGTTTACGTCAGGAATAATTATGCTCACCAAGGAAAAATCTTGAGCAAGGAGAGTCAGACCAGAACAACATTCTCCGGATGGAAATTATATCAATAATATTTGAATTTGATAGTTTTATTCACCTCCTCGACTTTTTGTTTAAATTAAGTGATTTTAGACAGACGTGTTTTCTTCAATATTCCATGTCTTGCATTTTTAAAGAACATTTTAGTTCTTTGCATATTTTAAATTTAATGTCTTTTTTCATATGGTATCTGCTACAGTCCGGATAAGAATCATTAATAAAGTTTTGTACTTCGAAATTTTATGTATTATATCTATTAAAATGGAAATATTCCGAGGTCAGTTCCAAAGCAATAAGTCCAGGTTAAAACAAATAAACATGGAAGTGATTACAAATAGCTCTGCATGAATTCTAAATCAAAGAAAGATCAGGCCGAACGAGTAAGCAACTCTGCTATTCGTGTTATCACTTGTCATGTGATATCAGTTATTCAAGTAGCTGGTATATTCCATGGCAATGATTCCGACAAAAATGGTATGGTCAGATAGATAGTGGACATGACTGCGGTACCTATAACGGAGTTAGAATATTTCTCACGATTAGAGATACTGTTTAGGGGTAAACCAATTCGGATGGATTATTTCAATCCTCATTTCGTTTGTCATACACATTTAAAAATGCAATCTCTACACATGCATCGTATATAACGTCTACTTCGACCAGACGTGGCTGCGTATTTATACATCCATCACCGCCAACAGGACACCCAACTTTCGCAAGGGTTTTACTACCAGACTTTAGAAGTCCACGGGATGACCTCATTTATATACCCAAGTTTAAGCATTGGTATGTTCATCATAAATACCAGGCACGTAAATGTTTGTGGCATATTGTTATGTCGACAAAACCTTTATACAAAGATAGAAATTTTGTAATCCTCTACCCTCATCAACCATGGTTTATTTACATGTTTTGGATAATCGTTGGCATATCCTACCTTGCAGTTGCAAAAATTCATTCATCATTCTGCTTGTTCAGACCGATTGGTGCTTGCTTACTGTTCAGTGACTAATATTTCATGCATATAGAGGGAAAAGTTTTTCAGAATTTGGCCTATAAATGAATCGGACAGTTGACAGAAATTGAAATTTTTTTTTGCCCTGAAATTTTCTAGGCAGGTAGCTACTAGATAACGTTATCAATGAAAAAAACAGACAACCCATCGTAAAGAAGAAAACAATAATAAAAGAACAAAGAATATGGGGTATCCATCCATGACACAAAATCGGTTAATGCACAGCAAAAACACACAAAAAGCAAAATAACAGCGCTTTTATTGCTGTTCTTTATCTTAAAGTCACAGTGAAGCCTTCAACACGAAGCAAAAAAAAAAAACTCGCACCTCACTGCACTTGAAGTTTTAGACGGCCTTTAGCACCGGTTTGAGCTTAATTCTTTGCATTCGGGTAGACATTGTAAGATGTAACACCACTACATCGGGTCCGGTCAAAAAGAATATACTAGTACGTATTTTAAACAAAATAGTTCTTACGCATAGGTGTAAATATCAAACTATGTTGAATATATTTTGGTAATATAGGTATCAAATGAAAGGTGAAGAACTGGTGATCCTTGTGGAACTACTTCAGATTGATAATTTTGAATCATACAAAAATATATGGATAAATCTAAAAAGGAGGGCATATGTTAAATGTTTCTCAGATATGAAGTACCTGATTTGGTATATCCAAGGTTCCGGTAACCAGTACGGTCTGATGTGTAAATACATTTAATGGTATATAGACCGCGCCCCCACATGCTCCCTTTTAAACTTTTAAACGAGTTTTATTTTTCATGTTGTTTTTTATTTCGATCCCAATAATTTTCGGATTGTTTTCCCGTATAAAAAGAGTAGACTCCAGAGTTTCTTTATTGGATTAGGCATCTCTTGTCCACAATTATTGACGGGAATTAAACTCTCACGGATTCTTGATGAACAGACTTTGCATAGTGCATCTTTAATTTTTTATTTGTTGTTTCTTAACGTATTACAGAATGTTGTTTTTTATTTTATACAATTTGTTTTGAAATGGTGTACGAGTCACCCACCCATCCGCCACTCTTTACAAACAATATAATAAAATTCAATGAAATTTCAGGGATTTCTCAGCAATGAGTCGCATTGTGCTTTTTAATTGAAAAAGTTGTTTGATCTTGTATAGGGGTTCCAATAGCAAACAGGGCATTGTATTTTGTTATACTTATGATTGTTTTAAAGTCTACAAATCCCTTTTTTGAAAATCATCCGAAAATAGTAGATAGCATTTTTTTTTTAGCTTTTGGAAAGTATGAAGTGGTTGGTGTGGGGCGGGATTGGGTTTTTATCTACTCTGAGGTCAAAGTACCTATTTTATTTTAAATTGAAGTAGTTATTACAATCCGTTTTAGTAATACCTAATCGTTATCCATAAATTTTATTTTGCTTATGGTATAGTTGTATCGGACAGGCGGGAGTTGAAAAGTTGGTTACTTTTTGTAATCAACTCCATTTTCAGTCAAGATTCTTGAAACTTTATATATATTGCACGCATATATAAGTTGTGCACCTGTTTTCCTACCACTCCCCAACTTGGGAACTTTTTTTAGCATAATTTACAAAAGACGGTATCTAATTTGTGTAACCAACTCGCCCTAGTTGTCAACCAAGATTATTGAAACTTCACAGATAGATTGCACACTATCATTGGAAATTTGGACTTAGTAATAGTATTACATGTATCGAACTGTTTGGGGACATTTTCCCTATTTTCCATACTTGGGAACTAAATCCTTTTCAATAAAATGTATAAAAGACAGTACCTGCTAGTATTCTGTGTAATCGACTGCTCCTATAGTTTACAACCTGAGATAACCCCCAGTTTTTGGTGGGATTCGGGTTGCTTAGTCTTTAGTTTTCTATGTTGTGTTTTGTGTACTATTGTGTGTCTGTTTGTCTTTTTTCTTTTTTAGCCATGGCGTTGTCAGTTTATTTTCGATTTATGAGTTTGAATGTCTCTCTGGTATCTTTCGCCCCTCTTTTACAACCAATGTCCTTGAAACTTCACAGCTTTATGATACTCGTTTTGAAATATTGAACATGTATTTAAACTGTTTGAGATTGTTTCCCTATTTTATTCAGTAACTTTTACAAAAACTGGTGCCTATTTTGGATAATTAACATATCCTACATTTTTAAACCCAGATTTTACAATTTTACAGAATGTTTTAAATCTATTTATGTTGTGCAACTTTTATTATGGTTGTGTTGTTTGAAAATTCCACTACCCCAATTTTTCAGGTCTTATAGTACAATATGTTTAAATTAAATGAAAATAAGGAAATGTTGTATGATCGCAAATAGGACAATTATCAACCAGTCAAACGTAGATTTAAGAAACCATAGGTATGGTTTTCAACAATGAGCAAAACTCATATTGCATGTACAAGTATATTTGTAAGCCACAAAATGACCCGACATACAAAAAATACAAACCAATTCGAATCAAAAATCCAACGACCTGATTAAGGTACAAAAAGTTAAACGGAAAACAATTACGACAGACATTTACAAATGGCAACCACTGAACTATAGGCTGTTGACATAGGGACAGGCAGATACATAATATGAAGGGATTAAACATGTTTGCGAGCCCTCAAATACACAAACTTGATACAATGGTTAAAGAAAAGCTGTAAAAAACAAAGGAAAATTAAAATCGACACACTGATTGTTTGTGAAAAATGACAAAACTGGCTTAGAAAATTGGAAATTTTTAAGGTGCATTGACTTTTTATTTTCATCAAAAATGCTTAATAAAGGTGTTTGGTTGAGAGCTTTCGGTACTTTTTCAACGGATCTCCTCTTATTCATATTGCCATAACCGTTGAGGTTCATCCCGATATATTTGTCCTGCATACAACAAATGTCACTGAAGGCGAGACACAGAATGCAGAGGTTATTAGTCTAGTTTTCTAGTCCTTAACTACTACGCCAAACCTTCAGAAATGTTTTATCAACTACTTCGAGTAAAACATTTTATCGACATAAACATTTTGAAATATTTGTTTTTCCATTGTCTGGTGAAATTGCGAGCCCTCAAATACAAAACATTTGGACATTTAAGCTTGGTTAACCAGATGGTAATGTTATTTTATAATTCACAATCTTCTTGAGACTCAAAATATTGTACCTACATATTGAAAAGTTGATTTAATAAAATATTAAACAATTAAAATTAATGTTTCAATTCTTTCGATTTTCAGAAATAAGATATTGACGAATCATTCGAAATCCGATTGCTTGCCGAATCTCTTGTCAGAATTGAAGTACAGAGTGAAAATATAAAAGAATTTAGTTGCAATGTTTGCCAATTGTCCACCCGTTACCAACACAATCTGAAACGCCACATCATTAGAGCCGTCCTACCCCTGGAAATGAAGACAAATCCGAAACAGAATCATATGTATGAAATAAGACAAGTCCAAGTACGGAATTTGTCTGCATATAGTTTAGTACAACGTTTACGTTTGTCGGATAGGGTTTACAACACAATTACAAGAGTAAAAATGCCTCTCATGATTAGTTTAAATATATTTTTTTTGCTTACATGTGCAAAAGGGATGAAACACAAGTTAATCAAACTAAGGACTTTTAAAGTGTTCTCCCATGAACAATTTATAGCAATAAAATATGAACAAAGCATTCATGCAAACAATACAATACATTATATATATTGGATATGTAAAAAAGATGATGTGTGATGATGTGAATGGTTGTACACAATATACATATATATATGCACTTTATTGTGCTATATTATACAACCAGAAACCTCTTTGACTCTTTAATAAATTCATATACATTCTTTAAAATTCTTTCATTTTCATCATTAGTTAATGACGAATCACCGGAGGTTAAGATGCTCAAATTTAGTGGAGAGTTCTCAAGATGCTGCACTAAAGGAAAAATGTTTTGTTTGTAACGCTACTTTTCAATACAACAAACCTTTGGTGAAACATCAAGATGCTCAAATTTAGTGGAGAGTTCTCAAGATGCTGCACTAAAGGAAAAATGTTTTGTTTGTAACGCTACTTTTCAATACAACAAACCTTTGGTGAAACATCAAGATGCTCAAATTTAGTGGAGAGTTCTCAAGATGCTGCACTAAAGGAAAAATGTTTTGTTTGTAACGCTACTTTTCAATACAACAAACCTTTGGTGAATCATCAAAATACGTGCTATTGACGCAAGGATGAGAC